CGACGAGCGTGCTGCCGAAGACTCTGGATCTTTCCAATCCATGGCCAAAGAAGGATGGCACGATGCGTACGACTGGCACCTCCACCACTTTCACGTCCCTTCTTCGCCGCCGCCTCCGTCCTCCTTCCAATTGCCATCGAAAGGTCCAATCCCCATCCAATCCATCCTCGCTGCAACGTCGGGGTACGCCAAACCAGCGTGGTAGTTGAACCGCACTCCACACAAAGCCCACTCCGAGATGTAGTTGGGATACGCACCCATCGTCAAGGGCGGCTTCCCGAGGCGAGTCAAAATTGCATTTGCGGACTGGAGTATATGTCGGCGCCAGCTGAAGGACTGCGACCCTGCCGCCATGAGCATAGGCTTCACCACGAGCTGCGAGTAGTACGACGCCTCCTCGTGGGAGCGCACGTCATCGCCTCCCATGCACATGATCCACATGCACGTGGCGAGAAGCAGGCGGAAGGCATCCCCGAATCTGCTCAACCTTGACTGGGACATCTTTCCGTTGTCAGACCATTGGCCGCCTCAGAGCGCATCGTGAAAGCAGGAAGCCAAACGCAATATTGTGGACTCTTGATGGGCAGCCATGTCATCGTCCTCAGGCCTGTCCTCGATGTAGGCCCCCACGTACCACAATGGAACGTTCATCCTCAAAGCAAGCGTGTGGTAAACAACACTAGGCGACACTACCCTCGACCACTCCACGCTCTGCCAAACTGCTCTCGCCAGATTGGTCGGGTAATCAGCAGCAACATACGACTCGGCGCGGGCGAAACCGTCGGATCTTGAAGACGACCTGAAGATTCACCCGTTGATGACGCGCATAGCGACGTTCTCCATCCTTCTCGCCCGTCCAAGGGCTGCGTCCGGCTGCGCAGGATCTTGGATTCGCAAACGTGGAACATCGAGGGATGGCATGATGAGGCCACGCGGTGCAGTGGCGCCTGCATCACCATTGACGATTGCTCAGTAGTAGTCAGCACAATCGTGCACAGCGTCCGCAATCAGGCGACCAGGTCCACTTTTCCCCATAATGTCTTCCCGTCTCTCCACAACTTCGACTTCGCCTCCAACTCCTCCTCCTGCCGCGTTTTTTTCTTCCTCATGCGAATAAACTCGTCGTCCTCGTCGTCCGGTCGCGGAGTGCCATCCCTCCTCTCGTCTTTCCTCCCCGCCTCACTGGGCCCCTGTTCTTCTCGCCTTTCCCCCGTAGCGGTGCTCAGCCCATTGACATCACCGCTTCCTGCATGCGACAATGAGACAACTTCCCTCGACGACCTGCCGACCGTGTTCATGTTCGACGGCTCCACGTGGCGCGCTTGTGGCACATGAACGGGTCCTTTATCCGCATGTTCAACAGCGGACACGATCATCGCTGTTGAAGTCACAGGTGTTTGTGGTGCCGACTCACTGATGACAATCCCTTGAGAACGCACACTTCCACTTCCACCACCATGACCAATTCCTGGCACACCAAGGGCAGCAACTGCTTGAAAATGCTCCCTGCTTACGCCGTCTCTCCCAAATCTAAGCGTCGGTGTCCCCGTCGAAGGGATCTCCATGACTGAGACATCTTGTCCCCCCTGGCCCCCCATCGCATCCTCCGATCCGTCACCACGCGGCCTTTTCGATTTCAAGACGTGCCCCCTTCCGTTTTGCCCGCCCCCACCTTCGCCGGATCCGTTGTCTCGCCTTTTCAACTGGGACTGTCCACATGGCGCGATGCGCTGATGATCGATTTCTCCCGTCCCACAACTAAAGGCGAAGTGAGTCTGCCACGTGCCGTGGGCGATGGCGGACGAATAGATCGTGAAGCGTCCACGTACTATGCCACCGACGGACGCACCCGTGAGGATAGCGCAGGTGTATAGCGACAGCGCACACGATGAACTCCTGGCGCCGTGGAAGACAGTCGTCAAGCGAAATAAGGAATTGACGCCTACGAAGCGTAGCACATGCGCAGCAGCAGACCTGCACTGACCCTTATACTGCTTGGACAGACCTTCCCCTGCCCCGACGCGCTCCCACCGTGATGGCTTGAACTTCCTACTTCTGAAAACCCGAAAAAAAAATTGTATACATATATATATACATATATATAAACCGTTCGACTACTTGAGCGATCCAACCGTCGACTATGCCATGAACCACGCCCCTTGAAGGAAGACATGCCGACTCAGCGCTGTCACTTTGGCACCGACGGAAAACAAGCGACGGATGCAACGTCAACGCATGCATCGACATGACGACAGACCGCAAAGCTGAGGCGGCATCAGGACCTGTCCCTGATGGCTTTCGCGATCTCCATCAACTCACTACACATCATCCTTTTCGCCTCGTCGAATGCCTCGTAGTGCCTCTTCTGGGCGTCGACCTCGCGCTCGAGTATGTTGCACTGCCGCTTCCTTTCCCCCTCCACAGTGTCCGCCATCAATGCACCGTGCTTCTCCATGACTTCGGCGATGACGTCGAACGTCTGTTGGCGCATGTTCTTCCTCTTGCCAGCGCCACCTGTGTTGCATGCACTGAACCCGGACTCCCGCGCCGACCCTCCATCTTCATCATTGCCATCACCCGCGTCTCCTCCTGCGATGGATTCTACCGCGACCGATGACGGACGTCGTGTGTCCCCCGACATCTGCACTTCTCCACGAGCACTCGTGTCGGCGAGGTTGTCAAGGTACATTCGCTCATCCATTCGGAAGTTGAAGCCCTCTTTCGTTCTCAACGCAGGCGTTAAGTTGAAGAAGTTATTCCCCCTGGAGGCGTTCTGGTATCGTTGCACGTTCTTATACTGCTGGAAGAGGTTATCCCACTTCTTTCCAATGTCATCGGTCGTCCTCTTCACGTTACCTCCACCAAACGCTTCTGCAGGTCCTGCAACTTCCATTCCCTATTGCGCATATGGTCGTAGTTGTGCGGCATTCCATCGAAATGAGCTTGCTGATCCGGCTTCACCCGAGCGAGCTTCAGCATCTCCTCAACACTCCAAGTCGGATGTTTGCCACCCTTGTCGCCTGCAGGTGCTTTCGATATTCGACCACCACAGGATCCCCGATTTTGTTGACGCCCGCATCCACCCCTCCCTCTACCACGCACACCCAGGGGTCGAATCTCCAACTCTTCCGCATCGTCTGCTTCGTCCTCGCAATGAAAACCCGACGATTCATCACCAATCGCCCTCCGGGTGTCGTCCTCATCCGCATCGCTTCCAACACGCATGCTCGACACCCTGTTCGTTATGTTCTCAGTAGTCAGTTCGTGCCTCTATTGGCGACAGGACTCCCACACGTGCGTGCCAATTTGTTCCGGCAGGGTAGTGGTCGTGTTCGTCGCCGGTGCGGCCACCCTCGCCGTGGTGGGGGTGAAGGCGTTGTCGAGTGGGGGGTTAACAATGTTGTCGCCTTGTCGCCAGATGTCCCCGCGCCTCAAGAGAAGGAGGGCGTCGGACGACACCCATCTGCATTGCCATCCACCAGACACGACCTTCCGCCACACCCCGCCACTCCCGCCCCATGCAGAGACGTTTGTCTGACGGTCGTGGCGGCGACGTGGCTTGATGCACAACTGTTCGTAACCGGTGCAGCAGTCCTGCTTGACAACCCGAAATCCAAGTCCACAATCTCTGTGTCCCCTCCGTCGATGCCCTCCTCCAGCATTGCCGGGAACGAGTGACGACTTCTCTCTGCCTCCTTTTGTCGGCAATGGCTGCCCATCCAGTCCTATGTAAATCCACTCCCCAATGGCAGAGTGTGGGACAGATCCTCCAGCCACTCCTCTCCGGATCCGGCGGTAACGGCTGCTCGTGTGGTGGCAGATGACTGTACAACTTGGGGTCATACGCGGGTGCACAACGCACCGCTACCGCCGGGTTGGAGTGGAGAAGTCGATCTCACATCTGTGCAGTTCGCTGGAGGTTCCATCGTCGCCTTCTTCGCTGTGCGTCGTTTTCGTCTGCTCCTCGGACTCCGCACGACGACACACACGCGCAACAAGACCACAAGTAGCAGGAGAAGAGTGGCCAGCAGCAGGAGCGGGACCCGCCGGAGCGCATCTGGCATGAATCGCAGCAAGCGAGTGCATCGACCAAAGCTTGCTCCCGTGCGCCTGTCAATGCCCGATGATGCACGCTGCCAAGGAGAACTGCAGTCGACCAGCACTGCTCACACGTTGGCGGTAAAAAAATTAACAAAATCGACCGTTGGACACCACGCCCGACGACGCGCACAAGGAGAAGCCCGCCACATGAACCGCCTTGGAGCTGAAGAACCACCCCCACGCCTTTACGCGCCAATGGTAATGACACAACACCGTTGGAGGCTGGTCCCCTACTGGAGGCCGGCGGTGTCCGCCCGTCTGGACCAGGACGACCTGTGCACCACGAAAAACTCCAAATTTTGGTGTCGACGCATGCCCCACGACGATCCATCAATCGCGGCTCCTTGAGCCCAAGGGACCTCACGAGGACCCCTTGAATCCAAGGACGTTTTGGCTGGCGATTCTGAGGAACCCAAGGAAATATCTCGGTAGCGTTTTCACATTTGTCCAAGGAATTTGGTGATTTAGGACGCAGTGTAAGGACGCTGATTTCCTAAAAATCGGATTTCCAAGGAGGGTCTAACAAGGCCCTAAGGGCCAATAAACTAATTAGAAACACTTTATCCTGCTTGCCTCTTTCTTTTACTCTTTTTTTTTTTGTTTTTAGACCACCAGTACTTGGCCCAGCTATCAGCCGCGGAAAAAAATAGAGTAGAAACGTTTCTAGTTGGATGAATTTGGGCGCTCCTGTAGTGTCCCGTACGTTTCCTAAAATCGTGTAGCGTTAACGGGCACGACTTTAGGAAGTACTGGTGGTTTAAAAGGGCAACAGCTGTAACAGTTGGAGTTGTTTCTTCTCATTTCTCAATAATTATTATTATTTTTTGTTCCATCCAATGCATGTACATATATTGTCGTGCATACATAAGTATCATGAAACAGAACTACCCAGTAAAACGGAGGCAGGGAGGGAGAAGAGGGCAACAAACGCGGGGCTTTGAGAGACTGTTTCATTGGAGTTTCACCGACTCATCAGGAGGCTGAAGCCTGCGTAGATGTACGTCCGTGAAACTCCGACGAAACAGTTTGTCACAGCTCCTCGTTTGTTCTCCTCTTCTCCCTCTCTGCCTGCGGTTTACCCGGCAGCTCTGTCTGACAGCTGGAAACCAAACAAGGGGCTGTGACAAACTGTTTCGTCGGAGTATATATATCGTCAGACAGAGCTGTATATATATATATCGTCAAATAGAACTGCCCGGTAAACCGTAGGCAGAGAGGGAGAAGAGGACAACAAACGAGGGGCTGTGACAAACTATATATATATATATATCGTCACAGTATATATATATCGTCACAAACAGAACTGCCCGGTAAAACGGTAGGCAGAGAGAGAGAAGAGGACAACAAACGAGGGGCTGTGACAAACTGTTTCGTCGGAGTTTCACCGACTCATCATATACATCGTCAGACAGAGCTGTATATATATATATCGTCACAAACAGAATATATATATATATATATCGTCAGACAGAGCTGGACAACAAACGAGGGGCTGTGAAAAACTGTTTCGTCGGAGTTTCACGGACTCATCACCGTCTCAGGGTTCAGCCTTATGAATCGGGGAAACTCTGACGAAACAGTTTGTCACAGCCCGTCTTTTCTTGTCCTCTTCTCCCTCTCTGCCTACCGTCTACTGGGCAGCTCTGTTTGACGATATATATATAGGCCATATACACTTATAATGATATACACACACGCGCACACACACACACACACACACACACACACACAAATATAACAGATCATTCTTTACTCAAAACGTGTCATCCATAATGATAATTGCGCAGGC